TTTCCCTTCTTTCCTGTTTTCTTTAATGATGGAATGACCAGATGGTCCGTCAGTTAGACAGTATGGTTTTGGTTTTGTTCCTTTTATTGTTGGTATGAGAGAATGCAGCTTAGCCCTGGAAGACTTCAAATTCTGATACCTTTTGGTGCTGTCGTGGTAAGTCTTGCCTGGCATGTCATTGCTGCGTGTGTCATTTTTTATCTTCCACGGAACGACCATGGTTGGCTGATGCACTATTTTTTGGCAGCACAGGCAAAGTTGAACTAGCGCTAGTGGAGATGGAGAAGCTCTTCTTCCTCCAACTACCACCAGCAGCAGCTCTTGGTGGCGAGGGGGCATGAACAACTTGATGATGAAGCCGCCTGCTCTCTCCATACAAGGAGTTTGGTGCTGGCAGGGTTTGGTGTTGGGTGGTCCCTGTTGATCGATCGCCTCTGTCTCTGCGCCATCCGTCCACAGCTTGGATCAGCAGTTGTTGGTGATCTTGGATTGCTGGATCCTTGATTCGTAGTCGAAGTCCGTCCACAGCTTGGATCAGCAGTTGTTGGTGATCTATCCTTGATTCGTAGTCGAAGTCGTCGAGAGCGTCCTCCTCATGGGTTTCTGATGAAGGTGGAGGGCTGCTGCTCCTGCTGCTCCCAAGGAGGAGAGGCAGAGGAAGCCATAACGAAATGTTTTGGGTGACTGTGATGATGGATGATTGATTTTGATTGGTTGGTTGATGAGAATTAAGGTGAAGAGTCGTCTTGTGATGAAATGAGCATGCCAATTAATTGCCAAGTGAGACCAGACCTCCTATACTTACTTTGATAACCATGGAATCAACTTAAGCAGCGTCCCGCTGCTTGCAAATGGCTGCTCAATTTGTCAGTAATGTAATGCATGGCACTACACCTCATGCGAGCTGTTGCTTCCTCAAAAGCTATCAAGTCGGCAAACAGAAGAAACCAATCACAGTGAAATTGCAGAAAGCACATAAAAATTGTCACCAAGTCAAAGCCATTCTAGTCAAGAGAAGTCACCATCATATCCCCCGATATCATTCACTACTTAGTAGTACCAATTAAGTCCACTCCAGAAGCAACAAATAAAGTAGCAACTTCATATGTTTCTTGAACATGTCATTAGTATCCAACATTTACAAAAGCTAGGCTCATAAGCTTAGGCTCATCTCTAAATAAGCGACCAATAGATAGTAACACCCAATGTGCAGAAGCCAAGGCGCAGAGTGCCATCGCTCACACCATCTCTCTTAACCTTGAAAAACATCTGTCTACCAGCAACAACGTGATCACCTTGCAATGCCTTCGCACAAACCTTGAGCTGCTCCAGATATTCAGCAGATACAACAGAACGTGAAAGCGTGATATTTCTTCCATGACCAACAACAGACACTTTATCGTCGCCAGAATCAAGCAAGATGACTTTCGCACAACTTATGCTGGTGGTACTAGCAGTAAACTTCGCACGGAAACCACTAAGCCATTCCCCACTGGTGATTCGCAAAGCTATTGTTGCCTCGAGCGAATAAGTCATAGAGCCAAGTCCAAACTCCAGTGTGCTAAGCCTGCTATGGTACTCCCTTGTAAGGTGGTGTGAGAGAAAGCCCTCATAGTTGATGTAAGTTACGGCTAGAAAACTCAAGCATTCATCCTTCGATTCAGTAGCACCTTTAACTTTCAGTTCAACCTCAAAGGTTGCAGGGTCGGACAACACAACAGCACGTGAAGGCCCCGTCAGTTTCAAATACGGAACCTATATGCAGCACCGTTAAACAAATACTAAGTAAACTGAAGTGAAACAAGAGGTCATCAGCATATAATAAACAATATATAGAGCAATGCAAACCAGCATTATCAACACAAGGTCACAACAGAAAAAACTACAAAAAAAATTATTTGTTCCATGCATTATTGACAAACAAAAAGACAGCATAATTTTCTGTGTGCATATAATCATGCATGTACCGTTCATGAGCTGTACATTTAGCAAATTTGATTTCTAGCAAACAAGGTTCAAACATTTTCAAGACAGAACTCAGAAGGTAGTGACAGAAACTATCAGCCACATTTAAAAATTAGACTCAGACATGCCACATTAGTTTACAACAGATAGGAAGGGGGGAGGGAGGGAGGGAGGGAGGGAGGGGAGTGAGCAAGGTCAAGTATAAGTTTGCAGGGGAACTTCCTAGCTAGGGGCTTGCCATATAGCTGACACAGCATGCATGTGCTCCCTATATTATGGAACTCCAAATGTGTTGAGAAATTGTGCTAGTTGGATTAGTAAGTAGTTATTTGCTTCTCTTATTATTACCAAACCCACAAACATATAACCGACCAAGAGATTGCAGATAGCGAAACTCACAATGTGTACTATGTAAGTTCTAAAAAATAACTAAAAGAATGGATTAGTTCAATGTAGAGGAACCACAAACATAGAAACATCCCAGAGGCACATGCCGCTGTGGTAACAGACAACACTTTGGGCAGACAGGAAAGTATTTGACGGGGGAAAAATCATTGCTTCATAAAGCAGCAAAGCAAGAAGCAAACAATCACGACACTGAAAGCTAGTGATAAGAAATAATACAAACCTCTTGTGTAAGAATTTGGCAATTATCTCTCGAGCGATCAAAGATCATATTGCGATTTTGATCAGCACAGTCTCGTATGGCAACCATCCCAAATACATGGAGGGGCCACTGTAAGCCTCCCCTTATCCTTGCAACTTTGACTGAAAAGATCTGCAAGGTAGTCGGCATGGAGGCACAATCCCGCCATTTAGGCTTCTTGAACGTGAAACGCTTGTTACAGATCTTTGCTGCAAGTGGATTTAATAAACCAAGGGTTAAGCAGCAGCAGCAATACTTAACAAGACATAAATATGGCATCTCAGCTATTTATTGGCCAAGCAATTTCTGGTAGATCCTAGCACATATATACAGCACATATATACAGGGAATGCATCTCAGCTATTTATAGGTTAAGCAAAAGTTCTGATAGATCCTAGCACATATACAGGGAATGACCGGATCCTTCACACAAACTTGAAAAGTATCCAGAATGAAATCCTTGTGAAATGCAAACGAGGCAAGGGATGGAACCAAGCATCCATATTTCTTGCTAAGCTTGCTGGGTAAGAGCACCTAACTAGGCAAAGGGACAGAAATAGATATCAGTCCCCAGTTAGAAAGACTATGGGTCTGGTTGGATACACATGGCCAATTAGTAGTTGGAGCGAAAAATTAGTGTCTGTAGTTGGCTAACAACTAATCGAAGACTAGGCTAAAAAATTAGCTCACCTATTAGCCCGCCTGTTTGATGCGCTAGAGCTAATTTTGGTTAATTTTTAGCCATCTAGCTAGCAATTTGCTCTTGTATCCAACAAGCCCTGCCCTATATGTTATTAAACCATCGAGGCATACCGGCCATTAGGACCGACCGAGGTTCCAGTTTACAAATTAAGGACAGGTTCCAATTTGCAAATTAAAGACCGGTTTCCATGGATCTGATCTGATCGGAGAGAGAGAATAGCTCACTGGTGTCTTCAAAGCAACCGTAGACGTCGGAAAATAGCCTGTTCCAGGTATCCCTAAAGTCTCTAGCGTCGGCTTCGTTGTCATCAGCCTCAGCGAGGTAGTAGTAATCTTGCTCTTCTTCTGCCCGCGCCGCCTTTTCCGCCGCGTGAAGCGCCATCATCTCATCCTTCGCTTCGGCCCCCAAACGCGCCATCCCATCCTCTTTCGGCGAAGGAGTAGGCCCACCGTTGGCGGCGACGACCGCTTGGATGGAGGGCGTCTCGATCCCCATCGCCGACGCCAATCGAATTCCTCGCCCCGCGGATAGATTGAAGTCCTCGCCGGCGCCAACTTCTCTTGCGGGCGTAGGAAACCAAGGTCGGGTGGTCGATGCGTGTGGTTTTTATTTTTCATGCGTGTGGTGCTCGGCTTGCCCTTACATCCCACCGGCTAGCAGGCCCAGGCCCAGGCCCAGCTCGACCTGTTTTCCGCTTATATTGCTGCGGGAGGCCTTTTCCCCCCTCTGAAACAAACAAATAGAGAAGCATGAAAAAAAACATAATATTTGCATTCAGATCTTTTATAAGGCAATTATTGTTTTAGAATAATTTTATATTGACCATATATGTTTGTATGCAGTGCACATGTGCTCTAAAACAAGAAGTGTAAATGGCTCTGATATTTTTCGACGGACCCAAGAGTGTTGGACATTATTATAAAAATGATTTTGCGAGACATTGTCTAGACATTAACACATGCGGTCACAACATGCAACCGCTCTCCTAAAATACGTAAGGACTTTCGGAGGCGGTCCTTCTTATTTAAAGAGGCATTTACATTTGCCCATCTCGCAAAATAGATTTACAGAGGCTGACATTTTATTTACACAGGTGGTGAAAAAAATATATCGGTGTGCGGAGGGCAGTTTATGAAAATAGAACTGTCCTCCAATACTTTTAGCCTAATACAACTCAATCTACATGTGCGCCGGATTAGGATGCTGCGCTCTATGAACACCGTAGAAGACAAAAGCCTTTAGTGAAGATATCTACAAACTGCGATGAAGTGGGCACATGAAGAACACAGACCTCACCAAGAGCAACATGCTCATGATTAAAATGAAACCGAGGCTATGAAATTATATATTATACCCATTAAGCTTAGCAAAACCCAATAAATAAACCCTTCTGCTTAGATGGTGTTCCAAGTTAGGTAGCTTTGCACCGTGGCACCTTGGCCCGCCTGTCAGCACCGGTTGGCTTTGTCATCACCAACACTCGGTGGGCCCGCCTGTCAGCCCCCTTCGCTGCGTCCGCGTGCGCGCTCGGCAACTGCCGCCATTCCAAGAGCGCGAAAGCAAGTGGTGCCCTGTCCGCGCGCGACGAGCGCCTCGCCGACCCCGAGTTCGTCAAGAACCACGGCCGCCGCCTCCTCCACAGCCGCTGCCGCCAGTTCCCTTCCCCTACCTCGCCTTCTCCCTTGCTCAGTGCGTGCACCCGGGACGCGAGGGCGTAGCAGCGTTGCCCCACCGAGGCGCGACCACCGTCTGCCCAACTGCGCCAATTTACAAAATAAAGATAGGTTCCAATTTGCAAATTAAAGACAGGTTTCCATGGATCTGATCTGATCGGAGAGAGAGAATAACTCACTGGTGTCTTCGAAGCAACCGTAGACGTCGGAAAATAGCCCGTCGGCTTCGTTGTCATCAGCCACGGCGAGGTAGTCGGCATCTACATCTTCCTCTTCTTCTGCCCGCGCCGCCTTCTCCGCCGCGTGAAGCGCCACCATCTCATCCTTCGCTTCCGCCCCCAAACGCGCCATCCTATCCTCTTTCGGCGAAGGAGTAGGCCCGCCGTTGGCGGCGACGACCGCTTGGATGGAGGGCGTCTCGATCCCCATCGCCGACGCCGATGGATCGAAATATTCCTCGCTGACGCCGACCTCTCTTGCAATCGTAGGCAACAATAGGTCGGATCGGAGGCATCAATGCCGTACCCGAACACGTCCGGAACGGAACGGTGTTCTCACCAACGCGGACTTGAAGTAATCTTCAGGCTGAGAAACAGCTACCTGACGATGTAAGCAACTATGCATCTGCTCTTTACATATTATACGAAGGAAGTAGAAGACGACGGAGTCTCGTGGCTGCGTTGCTGGCAGGCCGTATGTGAAGAGGCCGCCCGGAAGGCTACCAATGTCAGCTGCAACTTGCCAATCTAAATGGCCCATACGTAAACCACTGAGGCACTGGCAACACCTCAACCCCGAGGCCGCCGCCGTCACGCTCCGCCGCGTGCCTCCTCCAGGTCGGGATGGACGCCGACTCCTACACCGCGCCCGAGGCCGCCAACGCCGTGCACGACTCCGCCGCGTGCCTCCATCGCGAGGGCGGCTCTCGCGCCGCTGCCCGCCCAGCCCGCCGTCTTAGCTGCCATTGGCGGCTCTGTGCAAAGCGGCGGAGGCGCAGCGGCACAAGACGAGATTTTGTCGGAGCGAGTTGGAATCGGAACTTGATTGGAATCGAATTCCATCAGAAAAATCCAGGGTATGTTTGACATGAACTCCAAGCTCGACGTGGATTTTTTTCTTCTCCGTGTTCGACACGAATTTCTTCCGCTTTTTATTGCTTTTTTGGTTGGAACTATAAAATTAAAAGGTGTCATTGGGATATCCTCGATGTGCAGAAGGAGTTTCTGATCTCGCCGACCAGAACAAGTGCAAACCTAAACTTTGAAATCTGATCTCGCTGAGCAGAACAAGTGCACGCCTGACCTTCGAAATTCGGATGTCTCCAAGCCGAACGACGCTCCTGAATCCTGATCTCGCTGGACATGAACAAGCAAAGGTCTGCATCCTGTTGCTGCTACTCCAGTTTTCTTCATTATACTATTTCTTTCTTTTCTCCTTTACATTATAGTATGAAAAATATTTAATGTCCCTGATTTCTTCTTATGGTACTCACATAATGACAAGAATAGCACAGTATTGGGGGATTTTTTTGAAGTTTGGTACACCTGATATCTAGAATACTGACTAGAGTAATGCTGAGGAATTAAACATACCTTGCTTGGAACAATTTTGTTAATCTGGTTATTATTGGAAACTGTAACTCTGATTGTGAGTTATGCTTTTCTATGAAGTATTTATTTACATCAGCAAAAGCAACTAATAATTTGTGTAATTCTTGAACTCCATGCTAACTGCACATTTGCTATTATGAGATGTTTATTTACAAGCAACAAAAGCAATTAATAATTTGTGTAGTTCCTGAACTCCACAATCTAAATTCTTCACCATGCTGGACTTCTTCTAGAGGTTCTAAATCCTCTCTCAGTTCCACGTGCCTCTTATATGCTAACGCCAATAGGACCATGTGCCTCGATGGAAGGAATACGAGGACATGCAAATGTAGCAAATTGTTGGGAAAAATATGTGTCTGGTGATTGGTGCAAGGCTGTGATCAAAGCCATGTTCTTTGATTGATTTTGCAAATCAAAGGAGCTGCTGTTGATGGAATGGTAGTGCTTGCAGGTTTACAGTGAAGGCGGAGAGTTGGAGTGCAGGAGGTATGTCCAAGTGAACCAATTTTTCATGGGCTTAGTGTTGTGTGCTTGATTATTACTTAATTTCATTTCCATCTGATGATTGACTTGACACCCACCATATCAGAGTAGCTTCTTTTTCTTTTTCTTTTTTGAAGGGAACAGGAGGGGTTGCTCCCAACTGGAAATTTATTAAAACAAAGAGACAAATAGTACTTTCTTTAATGACACAGCTTAGCAAAAATACTTATGAGAACAATGAGTTATGTATGTCCTACAAGTAGAATGATATGCTTATCTATCATAAGATGCTCGATCAGAGTACCATAAAACCAGGACTATGGAACTGCATTGTGTCTGGAAGTAAGCACGTTTTGAGATGGCGAAATAGCCATTTTCATCCCTAAACTATTGCATAGGGCTCACTTTGGTCCCTGAACTTTCAAAGCGTCCAGTTTAGTCCTTAAACAATCGATTTGCAGGTCGATCTCGTCCATCCCCATTAATTAATCGCCACGTGTCTAGGAGTACATGCGAAATGTCATTGCTGCCCCTCGCTCTCTCCTTTAGCAGACGACCAGGCTCACGGCGCCACGTGACTTCACAGATGCTTGAGCACTCTCTCCAAAAAGATATCAGTCTTCTCTTATGGCCAGACTGTAAATAGCAAAGGCAATTTAGGCAAACATACAATTTACTTAGGTTGTACTATGGACATGTCGTCAGTAGTTAGCATGAGCCTGGCTGGACATGTCGTCAGTAGTTAGCATGAGCCTGGCTGGACATGTCGTCAGTAGTTAGCATGAGCCTGGCCGACTGCTAAAGGACAAAGCGAGGGGCAACAATGACATTTCACATGTACTTCTAGACACGTGGCGATTAATTAATGGGGATGGACGAGATCGACATACAAATTAATTGTTTAAGGACTAAACTGGACGCTTTAAAAGTTTAGGGACCAAATGAGCCTTGGACAATAGTTTAGGGACGAAAATGGCTATTTCGCCTTTTGAGATTGCAAATTTGCTTTAAGCTGCCTCTGATATCATGTTTACTATCAGCTTACCCTTATTTTCTTGCTTATATATTTGATGTCCCCCTTCTTCTGCAGTGACAATGAACACAAAATTGTTTGTCGGATAGCTGTTGCACATCAGAAATATATCTCAAATGCATGTTGAAACTCCATATTATGCTGCTGTAAATGATGTTAATGTATTCTTCAGTTGCATCATAGACTGGAGTGATTTACTAGAAGAGCATATGGATGCTGTTAGCACCCATTACCATTACTCAAGCATGTTGAGTTTCATGAAGGAAATGTTTCTTGAGAAGTGCTTGGTAACGGCATTGCATTGTTGCTGCTGTTGCCGCTACCATTGGCCAGCTAATGCTCGTGTTTGGCTGTATAGATCCGTGAAGAGAGCAGGGAGCAAAATGAGGAAATAGATAGTTGATGTATGGTAGCTATTGCTATTTTGGGTACAACTAAGATTATTTTTTTTTTGTTGGGGTTGGGTTGGGGAGTTTGATTTTTTTGGTCTAGCAGATAATGCTTGGGTTCCCAAATTTCTTGATCGGAGGTGTACAGTGCCTTCATGAAGAAGAATGTCAGTTTCCCTTTGACAAGCTTCATAACCTTCTATCTATATGCCTTCATAACCTTCTAACTATATGCCACTGAGACACTCCACATCGGTGACAGAACTGATAAGAACAATGCTAGTTTTCGTTTGATAGGCTTCATGGCACCTTACCTGATGTCAGGGTTTTTTTCAGGGTGCGAAGTACATATGAACGAGAGAACTTCTCATCGGCTCATAACATCATGGGAACCTCTGTGGTCATAAATGTTTTAAGAGCTTTGCTAGCCAGGTGCCAGCATTTACATCAATAGAGAGAGATGCGACGAGCTGGGAACAAATGCAACTTCTCCGGTATCCATGAAAACCCCATACCAAGCGGTTCTACTTTGTTCATCTCACGTTGGAGCCCACGGTTACAATTTTCACAATATGTGCTTCCAGTTTACAGCACTCAAAATTTTTAGATCAGCTTGTACAGTCGTGCCGAAAAGAACTCTCAAGACATTTTAGCCTTTGCCCGTATCCGTTTTTGCTCTTTTAGTTGTCAAAAAAAGTGAAACAATATTCAAATCGGATCAATTGCAAATGCCCTTTATCCGTAGCAACGCGTGAGCATTTTTCCTAGTTTATATAATAAAATTTATGATACCAAATAAGTATCATTAGATTAATTATTCATTGATTATATTTTTATAGTATATACCTATTTGATGTTATAATTTTTTTAATTCTTTTTATAATTTTGGTCAAACTTGAGATGCTTTAACTCTTCAAAAAATATTAGAATGACTTATATAATTTTAAACAGAGGAAGTATATCTCTAAAAATACCAAATGATTCCTCGTTGGTACCCTTTTGAGCACAACTATACTTTCCATAATAACTCGGATTCTAACAACTTGTCATTGTCCATATGAACTTCCTTTCCTTTTTAGGTCAACTTAACCTAATTCTAATACCTATTCTTTAATTTTTCTATTTTGGATCCAAAGAAAAAGAATAAAATCCATAGAAGCTCCTAACTAAAAATGCAATTTTTGAAGATTTTGTTGTAATTCTTCAAATTCTCTAATAAATCCAATCCAATAGAAAAGTCTTTTTTTTTGAAAATAATAAATTAAGTAATAAAACATAGAGAAAAAATTAAATAACATAGTCCTTATTGTCCATCATTTCTTTATTTTATTAAGAATGGCATAAATAGTCATTTCAACTTGCACCGTGGAGCTCAAGATGTTCAATTTGTGTTGGTAGTATATCAAATAATTATATGTGTATAGTAGTATGAAATAGAGTGCTTCAAATTAAATTACTAGTATCTATATGGGACAATGTTTTAGCCAAAGGTATAAGGGCCTGTTATTTGGATTTTCTCCTCTAAACGTATATATCCAAGTTGTATACATACATATACGGATACATCTATCTTGATAATACATGCACAAACCTGAATCACAGAGAACAAATCCATTCCCTTTCCATACATACAGACACAAAAGCTGATTGGGCAAGCATATTATTGATTTAAATTAAAAGTGTGGCTGAGTCTTCTAGTGAGTTGACCTGATGATGGGCCGCTCGACCCGTCCCGCTCAAAAAACACAACGGACTAGTTGTTGGGATTGGGAGGGTTGCACTCATTCAATATTTGCAGTATACTCCCTCCGTCTAAAAAATAGGGTTGCTATGAAAATCGTGCTAGTCAAACTTTCTCAACTTTAATTAGATTTGTAGAAAATACATGCAATATTTATATCTCCAAATAAGTTT